GGTACATTATGTTGGTTCTTGTGTGTGGTTTGATTTACCTTTAGGTTTAAACAATAGTATGGTTGTGTAATGGTACTTTTGATACTTTTGACTATGTTTGATTATGGTATGCTTTTTTTGTTGAAACTATGAATTTCAATTAAATATGTTTGCTAGTTAAAAGTTAAGTATGTTACTCTGTTTTGTCAAAGTTTATAAGGTTTATCATTAACTGAAATGTACATCCACACCAAAATTAAGAATAAAGGAAGGCTCAACAATTTTATAAGGCTTTATCGTTAACTGAAATATACATCCACGCCAAAATTAAGAATAAAAGTAAAGCTTATATAGCAATTTTCAAATGAACAATATTGACAATTTATGACATAAGAAAAAAAAAACATAAAGAATATGTAATTACAGTGATACCAAAAACTTTCATAGAAAGTAACGGGTTTACGTCAATATCCTTTACAATATACCAAAAAAATGATTAATTCCCATAAATTACTTCTAATAAGTTTTTGTAGATATGTAGAAACAATAAAGGTCAGCACAAAACCACAACCACTTCATATTCCTTGCTTTTATACATATTTGTAGCATGGGTTCTTCTATTTTGTTCTTAGATCGTAACAAGCCAAGGATGACATCCAGTGAAGTATAGCACATCGTTGGGTTAACCCATAAAGTAAACATGCACTTGATATTGAATTGAGAACAATATCAAAGCCTCCTACCTTGGTTGAGATTTGTCTAAGAAGTCACCGTAATCCTTGGGTCGCCACATGAACAAATCACCATTTAGAGAGAATGTAAAGGGGTAAAAGAATGAGGAAATGGAGAAATGAAGAAAAATGAGGAAACATTGGATTATTAAAATGTGTGAGAGAGAGTGAGAGAGCAAATGGAAAAAATACCCTTATATGAGGAGCATGCATACAAGCTAAATGACCAAAAACAAAAGGAAGTTACTGATAAGAACCTAATGTGCAATGGTTTTAAACCACATAGATTACCCATATAAAAAAATCTATGTGAACTACATTTGATCTATTTTGTAAATTACATGTTATATTTGTCATTGTGGTATTTATCATTAAAAGATTTGTAGCCTACTAGTTTTTTATGAAAACATTTAATATTTTATCCCTTTAAGTATTTATAAGTTAGACAAAATGTTAACATGTCAATCCATAGATCCAACTTATTTTAACTCATTAAAAATATCTGATGAACTTGACTTATTAACCGATAAATTTATTTTGTTTAACAATAAACTCGTAGTTTCACCGTTTGGTATGATAGAATGAAACTACAAAGAAAAAAATATTATGGACAAATTAATGGAATGAAAAAATAATGAAATTGATCATTACATTCCATTCTCATATTTGATTGACTATAAAGAGTAAAAGTAGTTACTAAAACATTATTTTTGATCAATAAATATAAACTTAAATTGAGTAAAAATATTATTTTATAATAATAAACTTTAATTAAAGAAAGACACATAGTTTAATAAATTCCATATAAATATATTTTATTTGGTTTAAAAAGAATAAACATGATCTTTAAAACTATTAAATAAAAAGAACCAGATGTAATGAAATATAAAAATATAATTATAAATATAAAAAATATTTAACTAATGTTTTGAAATTTTGAAAAAGATTAATTTTATTGAAAATTACGAGAAAAGTAATTTATACCGATAAATATATTAATCCATTAATGAAAAAAAAAAAAAAACTCATTCCCATATTATGAAAACTAGTGTGGAAGAAGAAATCACATTCTAAGAATGCTCCATCTATGGCAAGCGAACAAATTTTTTTAATTTCGCTATAATGCTTCATTTTATTAACTCTTCGATTACTATATACCAAATGTTGCTTAAATTTAGACGTTTATTCCGGTTGAATTTAACCCTCAAGCAATCGGCTACAGTCTTGGATAAGAATTGACCCTCAACCGATCGGCTAGGATCTTAGATATCTATTTTGCAATATCGAAATGTTTTCTACATGCAAAATAAAAATTCATCAAGAAAATTGCATAATGAGTAATGAGTGGGAAAATCATTTTTTTCTTTGATGGTTGTGCGATTAGTAACCGTCCAAATTACTTGTCATATGATATCCCATTTGTCGGATATTTTCCAAACTTTAGAAGAGTATCAAGTGAACTAGCGATCGATAGGCCTTTTGTGGGGGCCAAATCATATTCAACTTGTCTATTTTTTATTTGATGGATCATATTTTATTTCTTTTGTTTTAAATCGGTATTCACATTTTCTCTGTTCATATTCATTGATTAAAATAAAGTATATACGTGAGTCTAATTATAAATTTGGCAAAATAATTTAATTCAAATGGTATTTATCATTTTCTGAGAGAAAATACAATCGTGTTTATCTATTGATTTATGCTATTTTTATTAGTTTTCTTTTTTTAATCAGTGTTATTATGAGTTATTTTTTTGGTTACTAAACATTTAATTATACTTATATACTATACAGTACTCGAGTAATAAAAAACGAAAATAAGTTCTTACTTTATATTGTCTTTTACAAACTTTTCATAGATTATAATCTTGAAATTCTTTTAAACCAATATTCTATCTAGTGAACGATATTGGGATACTTTTTTCCCAAATCTTAATTTGCAAAGTAAATTAAATTATAGTTAAGTTATTCGGAATACCTTCTTTTATAAAGTAACTAAAGCCTAAGAACTTTGCAAGCGAATGTTTGATACATGCTCAAGTACCATTTTGTAAATAATTTTATATAAGTTATAAGAAAGTCTTTCCCCACGACACACCAAATAAGTAAATCCCTTAAGGCCTCATGTAACACCCGATCCTTGCAGGTAAATTCCTTCTCTTTGTTCTTAAGTTTTAATGTTGGGTGCAGGGACGGAACACAAGCATTCCGACCAAGGGAGCCGAAACCAATGTTTTAGAAACCGATTTGAACCGTCCGGTTGGACCGGAACTGAGGAAGTGAGCGGTTCAACTATCACTGGTTTTATACATATTTTTAAACCGGAACACTAGCAGTTTTACAAAAACTCGTTTGAACCGATTTTTAAAACATTGGCCGGAACCACAACTTCGAATTATAGTTAATTACCTCATGATTGTTACTAATTTCTTAGTGTTAAAGATTTATATAAGCAAATATATTTTAAGGTGGCCTTTCAACCAAAATCCACTAATTATGTTTGTGACTTGGTCTTATAACTATAAATATATTAATTGTTTGAGATATTATTATCCGTAACTAATAAATAAATAAAACATACAAATATATAAACAATATGCTATATAGAGATATAAAGAGATAAAAGAATGTTTTTATGGTTTCAAGGCACTTGATAGTCTGATAAAAGGACTTGAAGACTTTTTATATTTTCTAAGCAAAATAGGGGTCTATATCACTAAACAAATGTTGCCAATTTAAAGACCCACAGTGTCTTCACTACAGTTCTTTTTATTTTTTGGACAAAATTTACTTTTGTCTTTTGTTTTTTGAAAATCTTTTGATTTTTGGAAATATTTTCCCGGTTTAAACCGTCTAGTATCTTTCTTTTTTGAAAATCTTTTGTTCTTTTTTGAATATTTATTAAAAGGTTTCTTTGAAGAATTTTTTGTTTTATGGTTAACTTTGCATCCATACTCTAAGGGTTTTTCTTTTGTTAAATGACTACAACAATTTTTATTAAAAACCAAGGCCGACCCTGAGGATTCAAATGCCCGGGACGAGCCGAAAAAAAAGGCCTTTAGGCCTTAACGTGTAACGAATTAAACTATATAAACTAAAGTTTTTTTAAAACGAAGATAACAAGTCACCCATGTATGTTATATGTATCTTAAACGGCTTGTTGAAGTTGCAACAATGTTTTCTATTTTGATCAATGTTTGTTAGTTTTTGTGACCAAATTGAAAGGTTTCCTAGATGTAATCTATCACTTTTCAGCCCTTCAGTGTTTTTTGTTGTGTAAGTTCAACAATTTGGAGCATATGAAACTGAAATTTGGGATGTTAAAATTTAAGATCTTCCATTATTTTGGAGTGCACACTAAGTTATTTTGGTCTCTCTTAGAACCTAGAACCTATAACCTAAAACAAACATATTTACATGAATCAACTGCATTTCTTCTCAGTTTTGTGCCTAAACTTGAAATGCTCTTTTTGGATTATCCCATTGTTAATTTTTTGAAACTTGGACTATTGGAAAACGTATATGCTATAAGACATCAAAGCTTTGTCAATCAACATGGAATAAAATGTGGGTTGGTTAAGTTGTGATCTACCTTGATTATCATTCTATTGAAATCCTTTTTCTAACCCTAAACCATGACTTTGTGTGATCAGTGGAAGGAACAAAAAAGAAAACTAGAATTCAACAAATCAACAATCAACAATTTGATCTGATAACATAGATACATCATACATGAATGATCGATTAGATGATTTCAAAAAAATCAACAATCAACAATTCAACATTATTAGTTTGAGTGCTCAATTCAACTCAAGTATTCAAATAGAAACTAATAATCAACATCTAATTGAGTGAGTTTTGTATCTTATAATGATAATCGACATTCAATTACAAACTGATAAGTGATAATCGACATTCAATATTTCAATTACAAATTGATAATTTAACTTAGCAATCGACATTTAGATTTCGACATTCAATTAGAAACTGAGCTAACGCATGAGTTGAAGATTTAGATAACATCAATTAATCGATTACATACCTGATTAGCCAACAGAATAACAGGACTGTAAGAGTGCATAAATTGATCCTTCACAGAATCATAGTAACCCTGGGCCCTCTCTAGTCGATGTTGTCACTGAAGCGTGAATGATCGATGATCGATCTGTTCTGCTGCAATCGATCGATGTTGCCTTCTCGTTTGTGGACTAAATGACAAACTGGACTATCTTTGTTTTGGGGCCCCTGAAAATAATGGGCCCTGTGCACAAGCCCTTCTTGCCCCTCCTTGTCACCGGCCATGATTAAAACGTTTTAGTCTTTTTTGTCTGTTTGATAGATTACAAATTTTTTGAATCTCATCAATAACAATTCTCTTAGCAAAAGCAAGACTGTAAATTGTAGCATTTGTAGATTCAGTTATAAATCTGTTATGAGATTGTTGTCCTACAATGGGAATTTTTAATAGATATTGTTTGATCAACTCAGGATATAGATTTGAATCATTTATTTTGTAAAGATTTGTTTCATAGTCACATGTGTAATGATCTAGAAAGCAAATATCACATATGGTGAGATTCGTAAGTCTGGACTTTGCTTTTTCGATTTCTCTTTTTTGTTCATTGGCTTTGTCTTCTATAAGATCTATACCAAGGAACATCATGTAGATGGCATCAAGCATGTCTTGGAATACTGTCATTGGATTATGACTAATGCAGTTTGTATTTTTGATAAAATTTTGAACTATTCCTGATGTTTTATGGTCAAACAATAAAAGGATAGATTCTTTTGTTGCATATTTTTCTTTATTAGTCTGAATGATTAGACTTATTTCTGAAGTCCATCTGTCGATAACTTCTTTTCTATTTGTTTCAATGTTGTCAATATTGAGAATTTTTGTTCCGAATTGGTTTGGATTTGCAGTGGGAAGATATGGCATAGAGCCAGTTCTATGACCTTGTTCAGTTTTAGGTCTTTTTCTTCTTTCACATTGAAAAGAAGATTCTCCAGGATGATCGAAATGTGGTTCGGTTTTATTCATGCCGAAGTTAGGCTCTATATCAGAAGAAAGAGATTCTACTTCTTCTTCTGAAATATATACAGAAGTTTCTTTATCAGATGTTTCTTCTATGACGTTAATCGTTTCATCAAAGTGAAAAAGTTGTTTAAGTTCCTCAGATGTAGAGATTTCTAAGTTTACTGTATCCTTTCCTTTAGATTCAGCAAGATCTAGTAACCTAAGAGCTTGATCAAGAATAGATACATTTGATCCATTGATTGTTAATTCTTCATCTTCATAGTTATCTGAGAAGAATTTTTCTACTTTAGATAAATAATCTATCATGTTGACTTAAAGTAGTCTTTAGGCCATGACATAGAACTGGGATTCCTTGATGATCCTAGTTCTTCATTTCCTATATTATAATTAGGGTATGAGTACTTACCAGTGAATGACTTTTTATCTTCAGTTTTAGGATCTAAAACTGCAGTGGTTTTATTGATTATATCAATAATTTCTTTGTTGCAAGAGCATTTTTGAAGTTCCTTTTGCGTTTCATTAATAATTTTAGCAGCGATGACTTCTAATTGGTTTGTAGTTACTAAGCTTTAGTTAATCATTTGATCAATCTTTTTTGATAGTTCTTCAACTTTTTCATTTAATTGATTAAGTGATTCTTTAATGTCAACCATAGATGTCATCCTATAAGTTGTTTTATCTGATTTTGCACTTCTTTTAATCTAAGATTAAAATCTTTCATTTGGTCTGTAAGAACAGCTTTATGGGCAACTTCTTTTAGTAGATCATCGAAGTTTTTAGAAATTTTATTAAAAGTTTCTAGTAGTTTCGAGTTATGTTCTATTATGTTGTTCATTTTTTCTAACTGAGCAAAAATTCTTTCAAACTGATTGTTATCAACTTTTTCTCCATTTTGAAGGGCAATACATAAATCTTTCTTAAATTGATTGAAAGGTATATTATTTTTTGATAAATCTTTAGAAATATCTTTTTGAATTCCAAAATAGTGATTTATTTTGAGTGTATTTAACTAGCATCTTGCGACAATCTGATTTATATTGTTACAAATGTTAGATAGTGTTTGAACGCCTACTTTTCCTGAAGAAGAAAAAGCATATTTTTTTTTCTGATTAGGATCATCAAGATTTTTAAGTCTCAATGATTTACCCTTTTTGTAAATATGAGGAAGGTCTATCTTACTCATTTATTACTTCACTTAGTTGGCTAATCGTTTGATTTAAATTATCAACTCTAGAAGACATACTTCTTATGCTTTTGAGTATATCTCTTGGAGTAGGTTCCAGAGATTTGGATATTACACCTATATGAAGAGAATCTATTGAGATTCTAGGTGGTAGCTTTTTTCCTAAAGCTTTTTTGTTTCTGGCTATGTTTAAAGCCCAAGAGCTATCTTGAGGATCTATGTCACAGAATTGTTTATCTTTGACATGTCCTATCTCTGAGAATACATCTTCAAGTTCTATGTATTCTTCTTTTTTTTAGTCTATGCTATGATGACTATTTGTCAATGCATATCCTATAAGGTAGGTTATTGTGAAGGGTTTATCTCCTGGATTCATGAGATCACTTCTTTCAAAGTGATGAATAAAGATAAAACCTTATTTAAGTTTGCTGATTTCAGATCTAAGGCAAATTTAGGATAAACTGAAAACATGAATTTTTGGTAAGCTAGATTTTCTTTGGCTGCACCAAGAATACAATCTTGTCGATGATTGATTCTATCATCAATCAAGGCCATTTTTATTGGAGAATTAATTCCTTCTTGAAATTGAGATTTGATTAGAATTTTTACTGCTCCGATGTGGACCATTCTAATTTTGAGATCTTATTTCTGTGGGAATATTTTTTAGATTATTGTTTATCTGTTCTTTGGTTAATAGTGGTAGATAAACAGATCTTGTAGTATCTTTTATGTCGACTGACATTTCTGTTGTACTAACGAAGTAAAATATTTCGTTTTTTCTTTTTAACGTATTCAAAATATTAAGGATAAATCCATAACAAGGCTCTTAATTTATCAATAAGGTTTTCAGTTTTTCAGCTTGAAAGAGCCGATATCCTCCAGCTAGCAAAATCTAGAATTGAAATCTTTATCAATAAGGTTTTCAGTTTTTCAGCGGATGACAAGATCTTCGTCAATGGATATGATGCCAATGAGAAGACCTTAATCTACAGCAAATACAGCAAAGAGATTTCTCCGGCCGATGAACAACTATTCTTAGCCTTCCAAAACTTCTTGCTAAAGCCAGACTTAATCGGCGAACACGTGGCAGACATCTGTAAGACGCTCCACAAAAGCACTGGCAGATACAACTGTCAATGCTTAACCATCAAGGTGGCCTCCACTACCGAAAATAATAATGGCAAAGCCATTATTAAAGAAGATTCATCCACAAGCTCCAGATAAGAGAGGACCCTCAAAGATAAGCCACTATTCAACAATGTAGTTAGTGGATGATTTGGTCAGCAGTGACGTAAAACACTTGTATCTGATCCTCTCTATGATTCTATAAATAGAGAGTTATGCTTGCATTTGTAGGCAGAGTGAAAATACGAGAGCCTTAAGCATTCATATTGAAATCTGCAAATGTGTGAGTAAAACCCCATATAGGGTTTATAGTTTGAAATTGTAAAAACCTTCGGGTTTTAGTTTATTTATAAATAAGAGAAGTTTTCTCAATCCATCCTTTGTGCAACTGTCTGTATTTTTAAAGTCTGAATTCTTATTCGTCATAATGATCTAGTACTAACAAGTACCGCCAGTCAGAAGGACGCAGGGAAGAAGGAACGATCGACACCTAGATTGACGAAAAAATCACAGAGCCTCACGCACGAGCAAGGTATGAAAACTATCTTTTAATTTATAACAAAACTATCCCGTTAAAGTTTTTTAATTTCAAAAACTATAAACTCTATAATAAATAACCTTTTATAAAAAGCAAAAATCTTATAACAACTCAAATGAGTAGTAACAAAGTATTAGCCAATCAATAACCTAATAAGTTCATGATTTCTCAAATAAAAGATTGCAGAATTGCTATTAAACAACTTCAAAGAAATTTAGATTATATTAATGATGAAATTTCTTTAATAGATTTAACACTACAAACGTCTCTACGAGATGATTTTAGAAGGCAAATAAATGCTAAAAGTAGAAGATTTGCACACATTCGTGTACAAAATATCTTAAAAAAGGGTCTTAACTCTAATAAAAACCATTTAACAGAGTTAAAAGATAAGCTTTTAACTTAAATTTATCCGCAACCAATTCCTGGTATCAGAGCCTTGTTATGGATTTATCCTTAAAAAATAAAGGTAGAGGAGATTTTGAAGAACAACCTTAAGATCATACATTAAGTTTCGTTGAAAATCAAGATGGTTTTCAAGGAAGCCTAATGATTAAACAATAACTTCTTTCAAAAATTAAGAAAACTGATCTTAAAATAAAGAAAGAAAATATATTCAGAAACGTTCCCTCAAGATTTAATATTTTGAATACGTTAAAAAGAAAAAACGAAATATTTTACTTCGTTAGTACAAAAGAAATATCAGTCGACATAAAAGATACTACATGATCTGTTTATCTATCACTATTAACCAAAGAACAGATAAACAGTAATCTAAAAAATATTCCCAAAGAAATAAGATCTAAAATTAGAATGGTCCACATCGGAGCAGTAAAAATTCTAATCAAATCTCAATTTCAAGAAGGAATTAATTCTCCAATAAAAATGGCCTTGATTGATGATAGAATCAATCATCGACAAGATTGTATTCTTGGTGCAGCCAAAGGAAATCTAGCTTATCAAAAATTCATGTTTTCAGTTTATCCTAAATTTGCCTTAGATCTGAAATCAGCAAACTTAAATAAGGTTTTATCTTTTATTCATCACTTTGAAAGAAGTGATCTCATGAATCCAGGAGATAAACCCTTCACAATAACCTACCTTATAGGATATGCATTGACAAATAGTAATCATAGCATATACTATAAAAAAGAAGAATACATAGAACTTGAAGATGTATTCTCAGAGATAGGACATGTGAAAGATAAACAATTTTGTGACATAGATCCTCAAGATAGCTCTTGGGCTTTAAACATAGCCAGAAACAAAAAAGCTTTAGGAGAAAAGCTACCACCTAGAATCTCAATAGATTCTCTTCATATAGGTGAAATATCCAAATCTCTGGAACCTACTCCAAGAGATATACTCAAAAGCATAAGAAGTATGTCTTCTAGAGTTGATAATTTAAATCAAACGATTAGCCAACTGAGTGAAGTAATAAATGAGTAAGATAGACCTTCCTCATATTTACAAAAAGGGTAAATCATTGAGACTTCAAAATCTTGATGATCCTAATCAGAAAAAAGAATATCCTTTTTCTTCTTCAGGAAAAGTAGGCGTTCAAACCCTAATTAACCTTTGTAACAATATAAATCAGATTGTCGCAAGATGCTGGTTAAATACACTCAAAATAAATCACTATTTTGGAATTCAAAAATATATTTCTAAAGATTTATCAAAAAATAATATACCTTTCAATCAATTTAAGAAAGATTTATGTATTGCCCTTCAAAATGGAGAAAAAGTTGATAACAATCAGTTTGAAAGAATTTTTGCTCAGTTAAAAAAAATGAACAACATAATAGAACATAACTCGAAACTACTAGAAACTTTTAATAAAATTTCTAAAAACTTCGATGATCTACTAAAAGAAGTTGCCCATAAAGCTGTTCTTACAGACCAAATGAAAGATTTTAATCTTAGATTAAAAGAAGTGCAAAATCAGATAAAACAACTTATAGGATGACATCTATGGTTGACATTAAAGAATCACTTAATCAATTAAATGAAAAAGTTGAAGAACTATCAAAAAAGATTGATCAAATGATTAACTAAAGCTTAGTAACTACAAACCAATTAGAAGTCATCGCTGCTAAAATTATTAATGAAACGCAAAAGGAACTTCAAAAATGCTCTTGCAACAAAGAAATTATTGATATAATCAATAAAACCACTGCAGTTTTAGATCCTAAAACTGAAGATAAAAAGTCATTCACTGGTAAGTACTCATACCCTAATTATAATATAGGAAATGAAGAACTAGGATCATCAAGGAATCCCAGTTCTATGTCATGGCCTAAAGACTACTTTAAGTCAACATGATAGATTATTTATCTAAAGTAGAAAAATTCTTCTCAGATAACTATGAAGATGAAGAATTAACAATCAATGGATCAAATGTATCTATTCTTGATCAAGCTCTTAGGTTACTAGATCTTGCTGAATCTAAAGGAAAGGATACAGTAAACTTAGAAATCTCTACATCTGAGGAACTTAAACAACTTTTTCACTTTGATGAAACGATTAACGTCATAGAAGAAACATCTGATAAAGAAACTTCTGTATATATTTCAGAAGAAGAAGTAGAATCTCTTTCTTCTGATATAGAGCCTAACTTCGGCATGAATAAAACCGAACCACATTTCGATCATCCTGGAGAATCTTCTTTTCAATGTGAAAGAAGAAAAAGACCTAAAACTGAACAAGGTCATAGAACTGGCTCTATGCCATATCTTCCCACTGGAAATCCAAACCAGTTCGGAACAAAAATTCTCAATATTGACAACATTGAAACAAATAGAAAAGAAGTTATCGACAGATGGACTTCAGAAATAAGTCTAATCATTCAGACTAATAAAGAAAAATATGCAACAAAAGAATCTATCCTTTTATTGTTTGACCATAAAACATCAGGAATAGTTCAAAATTTTATCAAAAATACAAACTGCATTAGTCATAATCCAATGACAGTATTCCAAGACATGCTTGATGCCATCTACATGATGTTCCTTGGTATAGATCTTATAGAAGACAAAGCCAATGAACAAAAAAGAGAAATCGAAAAAGCAAAGTCCAGACTTACGAATCTCACCATATGTGATATTTGCTTTCTAGATCATTACACATGTGACTATGAAACAAATCTTTACAAAATAAATGATTCAAATCTATATCCTGAGTTGATCAAACAATATCTATTAAAAATTCCCATTGTAGGACAACAATCTCATAACAGATTTATAACTGAATCTACAAATGCTACAATTTACAGTCTTGCTTTTGCTAAGAGAATTGTTATTGATGAGATTCAAAAATTTTGTAATCTATCAAACACACAAAAAAGACTAAAACGTTTTAATAAAAATTGTTGTAGTCTTTTAACAAAAGAAAAACCCTTAGAGTATGGATGCAAAGTTAACCATAAAACAAAAAAATTCTTCAAAGAAACCTTTTAGTAAATATTCAAAAAAAGAACAAAAGATTTTCAAAAAAGAAAGATACTAGACGGTTTAAACCGGGAAAATATTTCCAAAAATCAAACGATTTTCAAAAAACAAAAGACAAAAGTAAATTTTTTTCGAAAAATAAAAAGAACTGCAGATGTTGGGTTTGTAGTGAAGAAGGACACTATGCCAATAAGTGTCCTAATAGGAAAGATTACCCACAAAAAGTTAAACTCCTTGAAATAACATCATCTATGGACCTTAGGCCTATAGAAGAACAATTTCAAGATGAACAAATCGTCTACACATTGATTGAAGAACCTCTAGATGAATCATCATCTTCTTCATCTACAGAATCAGACTGACTCAAAGGTCATGAACTCTAAAAACCTGATACTAACTATCACAAATCCTAGAAACAAAATAAAATTACAACTCTATCAAAGTTCAAACGGATAGCTAAAAGAAGAGAAGGAGTGGCAAGCTGACTTGTGAAGGAGATCTGTAGATCAGAAAGATTGCAGAAAAGCCGAGACGATGAAAGGCGGAATCGTCAAGATGAGAACATGGGTGACCTTGAGGAACGGTTTCCGGCCAACCAGGGATGAGAATGAGATGGTGACTAGAGGCAACATCTAGCGTGAGGGTTTAAGAGTTTTTAACTTTTTTTTTGGAGATTTGTTTGCTTAAGTTTGTGTGTGTTCTATATAAGTTAAATATAGATTTTGAAGATGATTAAAATCTGTTAGTTTTTTTTTGGATATATAGGGTTTAGATTTTCCATGGTCCGATTAGTTTTGAATTAAAGATTTGGATAATCATCATGAGTATATTTTTTGATCAAATACTTTATAAATTTTATATTTTCATCTAGTCTCCTCTCGATGCTGCTGATTGTCCTCTTGTATTTTCTGTTTAAATTCAATTTTTGGTATGAACTAATGGGATCCTTACTATATTAAGGTTGAAAACCCGGGGGGCCATGGCCTCCCCTGGCCCCTTAACGGTTCCGCCCCTGGTTGGGTGTACAACTACACAGGGCGTAGATAGCCTTCTACGTACTGCGTAGAAGGGTATCTTGGAGACGGGACTTTAATGATCTAAGAAGGGCGTAGATCTTGGTAAGCAGCGTACCTGCCCAGAGCCCAAACCCTAATCGTGGGGTTTTGAGCCCTAATTTAGGGCTCTAACTCCTTTGAGGCCCTTCCATTCTCAGTCTCCATTCCCCCAAACGTACCCTTTCAAACCTTAATTCCATTTGGTGTGATTTTGAGCCTTGTGTGTTTGTGTTCATTTTGAAAAAGGAAGAAGGTGGTGAAGTTGCTTGGAAGCATAGATCAACCTTGGATCCAGAAATCCATTTCTATCATTCATCTCCAAAAGGTATAAAGTTTGTACCTTTATGCTTCCATTTTTAGATCTAGCTTGGATGTTGAAGTTTATGTGCTTTTGTCCCATTAATTGGTTCATTTGAGTGTGAGTTGCTATAGATCTTGTAGAGTGCATTTCTAGATGTATTTGAGGGTAATAAGTCGTAAAAATGGGATCTTGGCCATTTCCAACCATCCATGCATGAGTTTTTGGTCTTTAGAAGTTGTCATGAGATTAGGGTTTGTCCTTGAGCCTTGGTAAGCCATGAAAATGCATAAAGTTTGGAACTTTATCAATTAGGACATTTATTTAGATCAGATCTAAGAGTTGGACGTGGTGTCTTTATGTATTAAGCACTTAATGGGAAGTATTGGCACCAACTTATTTACGAAGGGTGTAGATTAGGCTATGCAACGCGTAGCCCCATAATTGTATGTTTTGCTGCCTTAAACTCTACGCATGGCGTAGAGCTGTTACGCATTGCGTAACCTTGCTGAATGTTGACTTTTGACTTTTTGATCATTGAAAGTTGACTTTGACCAAGTTTAACTTTAGGTCATTTGGGTTATTTTGAGTAGTAGATTGAGATCTGAGTGTTAGGGATGTTGGGTTTGAGGTATAATAGCTTAATCCATTAAGTTGTGGATGCCTATTGCCCACGGCATGGCTACCAGTTGCCACGACATGGTGACTGGTTTTTCTGCTACTTTTCTCTTTGGACGACGCCACGACATGAACAATGGTGGCCACAATGTGGGATTTTACTGATGGCCAACTGTTTTGGTCTTAGTTTGCCCACGACGTTCCCTATGGGTGGCCATGACGTGGAGGCATGTTAATGTTGACTTTGACCGTTGACTTTTGACTATAGTTGACTTTTGGTTAATTTATAGGATTTAATGTATAGACCGAGTGAGTACTTTTATTGGCGCTATGTGTTTCGTAGTACCAGTCTTCACTGTGTGAGAGTTATTTTGATTTAGTTGTTATCTGCGAGGTGAGTCTTCTCACTATATTACATGTGTAGTAGTGTATGCATGTTGAGCAGCTGGGTCTTACTTGTTGTCGTGTTTTGTATAACTGTGTTGTTGATATCTCTTGGACAACTATGAGTCCACGAGACTGCTGATAGTCCTCAGTGTTGCTGATAATCCCTGAAATGTGTTGTTAATCCACAAGGGTTGTTGATAACCCATAGTTGTGTACTTTGCTGAGCTATATGTAATATTTTGGGAACTCACTAAACTTCGTGCTTACAGTTGTGGATGAAATATGTTTCATGTATTTCAGATGATTGCATGAAGGCGAAGGCTTGGCTGTACACTCTGGCTTGCAGATTTTTTGATTTTTTTTCATTTTAATACTTTGATTTGGGATGGCTGTATTTGATTCACTTGGGATTTTTATGACTCGGTTTTTATAATATTGGATGTTTTCTCCATTTAAAAACGAAAATTTTCGTGGTAAAAATCAGTGTGTTACAACGTAGGTGAAAGGAACGGGCGACGCTAGATAATCATTTATGATTATAACAGACCCGTCGTGCTGGTACGCTGGTGGGTTAGAGCAGAAGATGTGAATTATGATGGGTTTTGAGCACTACATCAATCCTATGGTGTACATGCAAACCCTAAAGCTTTAGATCTAGTTTGTCTAATCTACATGCAATAATCATCCAAAGCTCATAAACCCTAATTCTAGCATACAATAATTGATATTGACAAAAGAATAGAGTTTAGATCTTACCTTGATTGTTATGTTGCTATAACAATCTGAATCCTTCTTGTAATTGACTTCTGAAAGCTTAGTGCCTCAAATGTTGCACCTCTAATGGAGTCACAAACACCACTAGCAATAAGGATGAAGAAGAAGGAGAAGGAGGAGGCACAAAAACGTTCTAGGGTTCTCTCAAAGAGTTAGACACGTTTTTGGAGGCCTAAGGGTTCCTTTTATACTTAGGCTATTAGGGTTTTCAACTAGGAAACCCTAATCTGACTACTTAGGCCCTAAGCAGCCCATGGACTCCCTCCTTAGAAGCCTTGGATGAATTCTAATGGATTTCCCCATAGATTTCGTCCACTCCAACTTCTACGGAGTCCATTAGCCCAATATTCAACTATCACACAATTGACAGTTCTAGTCCCCTTTATGTAATTAATGTCTTTTAGCCACAGAATTAATTCTTCATTAATTCTTGACTAATATTAATTAAACAATATGATTTCTCTTTTAATATATTATTCATATAATATATTAATAAATCATAATTAATCCTCTTTCTCCTTAATTCATCCTATCAGTTGATATGGTGAAGGCAACCCAAAAGGACCATGCTCACAATCGGGTCAAGTACATACCAAAATAGTTATGAGCTTAGACACCTAATCCAACAAATTATATGGTTGAGGTTGAATCTTAAGATCTCTCTCTCTCTCTCTCTATCTCTCTCTCTCTCTCTCTCTATATATATATATATATATATATATATATATATATATATATATAAATTCTACTCCTTTAGTAACACATTAAAAAGTTTCATGGCTCTTAAAGCTTGAGGCTAGACATTGTCGTCATATCATGTATCACATTATTTAAAAGCTTAATTACAATAACTTTGTAATGGGGGGAATGAAGAAAGAAAATTAGGAGGATTTTGTAAAGAAGCTAAACTTCCAAACAAAATATGATTAAGTAATGATGATGATTGTAATGTATGTGAAAAACACATTTGAATACTTATATCAGTAGGTATGATGAAAGTATGACGCATAATTAGATAACATCATAGTAGTGAGAAATTGAGATTAAAGGTGAAATTCTTAATATGATGGTTTATGGTATTAGAAAATGCCAAAGTAACAATAAATTGTATATAACGTATATGCATAATATTAGATATATTTCAATGGTGAGGTATTACTTAAAGTGACATTTTGACAAAGTACAATGTTATAAAATGCTTAAATATTTTTATTTACAAATTATGATGTATGTAGGATACCCTTGACCTTGATGAGAACATATTATTTAAATATTGTGACTATATTGTAAGTATTCTAGTATGGTGGATTGGAATTACATAGAAATATGTACTTAACTTGACAAAACAGGGACACAAGTAAATTAATGAAGTGCAAAAAAGTGACATAAAATTCCCATATTCTTATGAATCATATTAACCATGTCGTGTTATGTGACAATATGTGTGAGATATAAGTTTTGGTGATGATGGTATGACATTTTAACAAACTGTTATTTCAAACCTATGTAATAATGTAGGTCAATTTGTATTTCTTTTTAAAATAATAAAGAGAAATTTTAGCATACTGTGTATATTTACATAATTGACCCTCAAAAATAAATTATTAAATAATCTCGATTGGGACGAACCAAGTGATAGAGATTGTAACAAGGTTTCCAAAAACATAAAGAACACTAAAATCCGAGTTATAACGAAGAAGTTATGACCAATCGAAGATCCACGACAAAACCGGCAAAACACTGTTCAGTGTAAAAACTGAATTTTCAATAAAAGGATTTTTAGCCTTAACAATCTAAATGAAAGTTGTAGTTTATGTTAAACGGAGAACTTTCATAAAAATAACGGCAAAATCTGACTTCGTATGTGGAAGTTACGATTTTTCTAAGTTTCAGTATAGTAGTGTATAGCTAAAAACTTGAAATAAAGATCGAGTGATTTTTAGCCGACACAACCTAAACGAGAATTGAAGGTCTTGTCAATAGTAGTACAACGGTAAAAAGACAGAAAAAAACGGACGTCAGATGAAGAAGTTATGAATTTTTAACGAATTTCCTGTCCGGGTCTGTTAAAAATAATAATATTAAAAATAAAGTCAAAATCAGCCGACGATATCTAAACGAAAGCCATAGAGTATAATTTTACCTACGCGTGCATATAAAGAACGTCGAAAACGGAGCTCGTATGCGAAAGTTATGATTTTTGCAAATTTTTGGCACAAAAATCAAGAAA